AGAGAGAGAGAGAGAAAGAAAGAAAGAAAGGGATAAAAAAAGGGGAGGAGACGCGACAGAGTAATAAAGATGAATAAAAAGTGATACGGACGAAGTCGTAACTTGCACCATGAAATTCTCTACGAGAGCGTAGAAAACGTGCAAAGTTTCGCGAAGGTAAGCGACGAACTTTCACGGCGATGAAAAATTTTCCGCGCATACTTGCACTAAGTCCTGGATATCGAATTGCGCGTTTTCAACAAAGTAGTCGTGAACTTTTCTACTTCGCTACGTCGAGAGGTTTCTCAAACGTTATTCAGTAACTCCTTCAGTTAATATATCTCTCCATTTCGCTATAAATTACTACATAACACAATGGCGAGTTTGTGACAATAACGCAGCTTGCAGCGTATGAAGTTAATTTTTAGTTAGAGTCTGAAATATGCGATGTCAAGAAATCATTAACTGGATTTATAATGTTCTCTTTCTATATATATAAAACTCGATTTCTCAATTATTAAAAAATAATTTTTTTCTCCGCGCAGAATTTGATTATTCACGATTATCTAATATTATTCGAAAAAGTTCAAGTATCAATTAACTATATAGATGGAATAAAATTTTTGGATGTAAATCATCTAAAATTACATTTGTCTTTAATAATTAAACGATTAACAAACATGTATATGTACATTATATAAAAAAAGAATCCTTTCTAGTCGCATTTAAATCTACTATTTATTTCCAACAACGCCGTATGAATATTTAACAGGGAACACGATAAATTTTATTAATATATATAAGTCAATTACTTTGGATGGTTTTTCTGAAACTGACGTGCCGCCTAGGGCCTTTTGTATGCGAATTCCGCGGGAAGAAAAATTAAATTTCCATATTTCTGCGAATAAGAGCGACGACAAGCGCGGTGACAAATGCCACGCCGAATGGTCAGTAAGTCAACAACATCGATCTTCTTGTACCGCAGATTGTGCCGTGCTCCTTCGAGGAAGGAGAAGAGAAGCGACGAGTAAACGGCCATAAATCCCGGCCGAGCGATCCTCGCGTCGGATTCACCTTCGCCGCGGAAGCGGCGAATCCTTGACTTTATCCGCGCGCGACAGGATGATGCCACAGCGCTCCCACGCTGCCAGAGATACAGCTACACGATTGGTCTGTAATTATCGGCCACGGATGAGCAGTGGCGATAAGAAAGCGATAATAAATAAAAATATTGACTAATCCCACACAGCAATGGCGCAATGGAGATTAATCGTTTGTCCACCGCCGATGGCCATCGGGATGGCGCACCAGTAAATGCCATTTCGCCGATTGTACTCCCGTATTCCCATCGATCCTCTAAAATGCCAGAACGTGAAAGATAAAGGACGATAAAAAGAGAACGACGCTCCACGCGGGCAAGCTCAAAAGGAGGAATTTTTATTCCGCCGATTCATCGCGAGTGAATTGATTCGTTGAAGAACGAAGCCCCGCCAGTCGCGAGGGACATTGTCGTGAAACACACTTGTCCTATCGATAAAGTTCTTTCATTGTTCAACTTTCAATGTCAATATGCATACCATCTGTCTGTTAAATAATCCAGGATTTCTATACTATATATATATAGTATATCAAAAATTTATGTTACAAAGAAAAAATTGAATCGTGTTTAAAAATTATCTTTTTATATTTCTTCGTAAGAAGTAAATATTTGAATTTAAACCTTCGATTAAGACTATTATAATTCTAGTAATACAATATAAGAATTATCATTGTTACATTCTAATAATTATTGCAGCTTGTTTAACAATATTGGTGTATCGAAAATATATTTGCAATACTAAGTAAAGTAAGAAATTTAAACTATACTTACACAAAAGCAGGAGAACCACTAGACGTAACATATTTGATAGATCGACAGCCACGACTCTGCAAATAATATCAAGATACAATTTACTGAGCAAACTATGACGATAATATCGCTTATTAAATCGTCTAATTTTTAAAAGACACATTTCTGAAATCAGAGCGGTAAAAAGAAAGAACGAGGTCTCTTACAAATACACGTTATCAATGTAGAATTATCGGTTACTGTATTTCCCCGAGGAAACAGACGAAATATTAAGCGAAACGGAGATAGCGCATCGATAGGTAGGAGAGAGATCCGTGAGAGATCCACACACACACACACACACACAGACACACACACACACACACACACACACACACACACACACACACACACACACACACACACACACACACACACACACACACACACACATATATATATACTACTGAAGCAGAAATCTAATTAAGAGATAATTGTTCCAGAAACGCGCTCGTTCATTTCGGAATCCCGCAGGCAATATTGGTCGATGAGGTAATAAGCAAAGATAAGAGGAGGCAGTCGCATCGCTGAAATTTCGAGAGGGAAACGCGTAGGAAGCTACGTTCGCACACGACAGATCGAAGAGCCCGGAATTTAGAACGGGCGTATAATTAGTCGCGATAAATATGCAACAGCATTAGGTAATATGGAGCGGTTGCTCCAGTTCGAAGAATTACGAGGATGATTTATAGACACACCTATCGTCGTATTTCGTAATCGACATTTACTTTATCACGTGCGATCATATCGAGAGATTATTTCAATTTCTACTTCTATTAATGTGTCTTGTGAAGTATTGTATATTAAAAAAAAAAAAACCTTGTAACGTTTATATCCTCCGTTCTTAGGAAGAACTTTTCTCCGAAGAGGATTCTTGATGGAGTAAAGTGAGACTTTGATTTTGAAATACTTTGTAATAAATAATCGTTAAAGGTTTTAACGTTAATATATCTAACGTACAATGGATTGCGACACATGTATAATGTGTCAGCCGTGTCAAATATCTTGCCTCACCACGAACAAGCATGCGATGAACATGTATAATTACAATTTGTGCGTGTAATGCAGTTACGCCAAACATACGCGACTCACCGGTTTATGCTCAATGAACAGGTCGTTGAATCGTGAATTACGCTTGCTGACTTTTACATCGAGAGCTATTATTATCGATATAATCGCGTCCTTACTCACGCGAATGATACAATCGTAGCCTGCGGCTAGGTCGACAGCTTCATGGGTAATAGAGAGAATTTCGATTCGTATACGCAATAATTTAATAATAACTGTTATTTAAATCTAATATTAAGGGTTATATTTAGCTAAAAGGTTAATTAGATAAATTAATTGAAGTGAGGAAAAAGTTTACAATTATCAATTTCTTGATGATTCAATCTTTCGTGGATCTCTTCAAAACTTCAACGTCGTATTTAGTAACAATATAATTACAGATCCCAAGGAAGGTAATTTAATTATAGTATTCGATGCTTTCGATACAAACACGAGATATAATATATACCGGAAAATAATATAAAGTAAAATAAAATATCTAACCGAAAATTGTTTCAAAAGTAATAATAAAATAATAATAAAAAATAATAAAGTCTGTAAACGTATCTCTCTTTTATCATATCTAATAAAAAAGAAACTTGCCGAAACCCGGGATCGAACCAGGGACATTTAGATCTTCAGTCTAACGCTCTCCCAACTGAGCTATTTCGGCTTGTGTCGAATCATCCC